GGGAGGGGAAGAAGCAATCCCCACACCTTACTCCTCCTGCTACACTAATTCTACCAGTCCGCTAGGTAAGAGTGAAACTATATTAGGATGCCTTCCGAGCACTTAAAGCAAACTTAAAGTCAAAGAGTTTAATGAAGGCTGCTTCTAGTGATAAATAGTTCACAGGCTTCCCTAACCTACTTAGTGATAGCCCCTGTACTATTACTGACAAAATGTAACTTACATTTTTCTACCAACTACTAAAGATCAAAATTATTTTTTATCTCCAGCAAAAATAAAAAAATATTGCTGAAATGGTAGCATGTACATTTCAGAGATTAAACATTTGTACATTTTTTAGGGTGAGGAGACTAGGTACCAGAGAGATTAAATGACTTGCCTTAAGCATAACCAACAAGACTGGGGGAGCAGCAGAATCTATCCCATTTCTGAATAGTCTAGTGCTCCCTTCTTAATATATTATTCTGAAAGTAACTTTATGTAGCTAGTTTTTAAATTAATACGTATTACTGCAAGAGTAATAATGATGTTTTATTCAAGAAGAAGTTTTCAGAACCTCTGTCATCACTACACACACACACTCCTAACCACTGAGATAACTAAGTACCGAAAGGAGCTACAGTAGTAACAACAGCCCCTGTGAGCTACACGCTTTTGTGCACTGTTAATGGATCAACACTGGTTCAGTCTCTGCAGAGACTCGGAGCTCAGCCTGCTTCAAAATGAAACCAGGTCTCTGAGTCTTGTACAAAACGTTGAAGGCAGAGGGGAGCTTTCCAAGAGGAATAAGGCAGCATTTCTATCTGGCTGATGGGAAACGCTTGCTCTCAACTCACAATGTGGACTCAGGAGGGTACTTTCATGTTTGCTAGAACTCTCTTCTCATGGCTCCCCAGGGCAGGACTCCCTAAAAATCTCTTAAGTACATTCCCGACTCTTTAACACCACTTTGAGTCTCTTCCCATCAAGTCTATCTCCCCTACTGATGCCAGGGTTAACTTTCTAAAAGACAAAGCTGATCATGTCACTCCCTTGCTTAAACTCTTCCACAGTAACAAAAAAATTATTACAAGACTTGGGGAAAAGAGCAGAACACAAAATGATACAAATCTGTGATTATAACTGCTTTTAAAAAGTGCTCAGAAGGACTAGAACAAAAAAGAGACAGAGATATGGATGAACCTTTTCAAAAATATCTTTGAATGCTTTTGCTATGCTTTATTATCACTAAAATATTATTTCAAGTTTAATTGGTCCCCTCACCAAATGTGAACAAACTCCAAAGTCTTTATGATGGGATGTAAGGCATAAGCTCATTCCCACCAACCCCTGGAGCCCCATTTCCCACTACCTCACACTGCTCCTGCAACATGTATATTTTCAGTGTTCTATAACTATAGGCTTTTCACAACTGTATCATTGCTATCCCATTATTTCTGCCCCCAAAAGTCCTATTCTTTGTGCTACTTGGAAAAATCTGATTCTTTTTGCCCCTTAATGACACAAATAATACATGAATATATTCTGATTATAAACAGTGCAAACTACGAAGTCACATACAGTTAGAAAAGGCACATTCACCACCCTCACTCCTTCACCACACCCCAAATCCCGCTCCCTTCTCCAGAGGTACAAATTAACCCATTTGCTGGGATCACTTTTTCTACCACTAGAGTGCTCGATCCTAAATGATTATCTCCAAATCTGGCAAAAACACAAGTATACATGGGCATCTCTCTCCTACTTCTATTTGGACGGAGGGGGGGAGGAGGGAATCACATGATTTGCCTTCTGAGTCACTCAGCAGCTGGGCCCAGAACAGAGAAGCCCTGGATAGAAGTTATTGGTCAGCCTGCTATTGGGCAAAGAGGAAAAATCTCCCTTCTCTCGCTCTTCATTTTATTCTAGACTTACTGGACTGGCCCAGTTCCAAACTTGGAGCTGAGTATTGGTAGGGAGTAAACAGTTTCTTTGTCAAGGTCTGGCCTAGTATTAGGGGTTAGGGCCAAAGTTCCAGTTCATTAAAAATTAATTTGCTAGGCAGCTCACTGTCTATTGTATGAACGGAAGCAGGTCCTAGGCAAAGCCATACCTACTTCTACTTAAAAATACCTCTGCCTTTCTGCAAATTAAAACCATAATGAGATATTACCTCACACCTGTCAGAATTGCTATCATCAATCATCCACAAACAAGTGCTGTCGAGGGTGTGGAGAAAAGGGAACCCTCCTTGTGCACTGTTGCTGGGAACCCAGACAGGTGCAGCCACTATGGAAAAGTTTAGAGGGTCGGCAAAAAATTAAAAACGGAATTGCCTAATACGACCCAGTGATTCCACATCTGGGTATATATCAGAAGAAACCCAAAACACTAATTCAAAAGAATATGTGCCCCCCTATCTTCATTGCAGCATTATTTACAACAGTCAAGATATGGAAGCAACCTAAGTGCCCAACAATAAATGAGTGGATAAAAATGCTGAGGTGCATATACACAATGGAATATTAGTCATAAAAAGAATAAAATCTGACCATTTGCAACAGCATGGATGGACCTAGAGGGTATTATGCTA